CATCACTTCGTCTAATCCCGGCGGGTCAGCCCGGCCCGGCCCGCCCCGGGACGGCTCATCCCATCCGGCAGCATCCCGGGTACCAGCGTCGCGCCGGGATGCTGCCGGGACCCAGGGCATCCCGGAGGGTTGGGATGCACCAGCCTCTCCTCCACTTGGCTGTCTCCGGGGCATCCTGGTTTACCCCATCTGATCCTCCTGGCTTTAACAGCCTCTTCCAGGGAGCCACAGCATCCCAAGCTCACCCAGAGCACATTGGGTAGCACCATCCTCATCCTCCATCCATTAGGTTTCGTAGGATCGTCATGGAATGGTTTAGGTTGGAAAGGACCTTAAAAATCATCTCGTTCCAAGCCCCTGCCATGGGCAGGGACACATTCCACTAGATTTAGATTGTTCAGGTAGCACAAGCTCATGGTTGATGGCAGCTGATGCTGTTACTGGTCTTGGCACCACAAGGAGAGCAATTCATCCCCCTTTTCCCTTAGGGAGGTGAAGTCCAGAGATGCTGGAGGGTTATTTGATGAAAAGGTCAGGGAGTCTGGATCAGGCCTCGCTCTGCAGAGACACAGGAGGATCTTCACAGCAGGAGGTGAAGGTGATAGTGCATCCAGAGCATCCTTGTGCTGGAGTTGCACCAGGCACAGCTGCACTGTTAGTACTCAGCACAAGGTGCTGTGGGACTTGGATTCTGCTTTGTCATGCAAAAGTTAAATATAGTTGCACTTAATTCAGCACTTCAGCTTTTCACCTTGCTTTTCTGCTCCCTTGTGGGCTAGGAACTGCCTTCTTACAGGGGTGGACCAGTGGGAGTAAGAGCTCTTTGCCTTCCTGTCCTTTCTCCTCCTCAGCTTTGTTGTTCCACAGATCCCAAAGCTCAGTGATGCACCAGCAGGTTTGGGATGAGGATGCAGCCCTGGAATCTGTTCCCTGCCTCCCCAAAAACCTGCTACATGACTTCAGGCCAACCCTGTCTCTCTGTCACCTCTAGGCATGGAGCTGTGAAGAGTGAGGACACCTTCAAGACATCTCCATTTCACTTGGACTTGTGGTTCTACTTCACTCTGCAGAACTGGGTGCTGGACTTCGGGCGTCCCATCGCCATGGTGAGTGCCTGGGGCTGCCTGTTTGCGGTGGGGGATGAGGGGGCGTCACCCTGGGGGTCTCCATGGGCTGTTCCCTGCTCCAAAGGGATGTCCTTGAGGAGCTGTCCTTGAGATGAGGACCACTGAGATGGACTGGTGTCACTGGTGTCAAGTGTCTTGCTCTAGTCACAGGTCTCCTGGGAAGCTTATTTCATGTTAGCTATCCACACCTTTCTGTTTTCATAACAAAAGTGACCTGGGCAGGTTCCTAGTGCTTTTTCCCACACCTGTGTCTCCAGAGCTTGGAGCTCCTACTCTCCAGCTCTGTTCCCCTCCACTGGAAGTTTTATTGCTGCCACCTGTTAAGGAAGGGGTGAAGGAAAGGGTTAAGGAGTGTTTAGGAAGGGGTGAAGGAAGGGGTTAAGGAGGATGATGGAAGGGGTTACAGAGGGTGAAGGAAGAGGGTTAAGGGAGTTCCACTGCTGCAGGAGCCCCAAACCCTTCCTTGGCTGCACAACTTGAGGCAGTGCTGCAGGAGCCACACTGAGCTGTGGATACACTGTGCATTCACCACCCACTCCCAGATTGTGCTTTTTGGAAGGTTTATTCCAAGAAGAGCTTCCCAAATCTTTGCCAACAGCTCTCTGCAGTCAAACTGACCATTAGCAACCAGCAGCAGGGCAAAGATTGTGTCTCTGCCTGTGTTTCACCCTCTGACAGGGCTGTGAGCACCCATGTGGGTGCTGAGGATGTACTGAGGGGCTTGACCCACATGGGTGCTGAGGATGTACTGAGGGGCTTCTTTTCCCCTCTCTCCACAGATAATCCTCCCTTTGGAATGGTTTCCTCTGAACAAACCCAGTGCTGGAGATTATTTCCACATGGCTTACAACGTCATCACACCATTTCTTCTGCTCAAGGTAAATCTGGAGGGTTTTAATATTCCCAGTTGGAAAAACAGGGGAAAAATGCAGTTTAAGGTTAATATTTCTTTAGGAATTTGTTACTCTCAAAGTCCTGCCAGGGATCCAGCCCTGCTGGAAGTTCAGGTTTGCCACTCTAGGAAGGATTTGTGATGCTACAAAGTAGTGACCACTTTAATACACCCCAAATTCCTTTGTACACCGAGGAAATTGCTTCCCCTAGGAGTTCTGGTTCTCCCTTTGAAGAGCAAAGCAGTGACCACCTTAATACACCCCAAATTCCTTCAGATACCAAGCAAATCACTTCCCTCAGGAGTTCTGATTCCAAGAGGAGTCACAGCTCTTCTCCCCAAAGCCTATTTTGAAGACAACATCCATCCAGGGCCTAAAAGACCTTCTGAGCCAGCTGAAACTACAGGAGATCTAAATTGTTCAGAGCTTAATTAGAGTTGCTCTTTGCCATTAGAGCTGTGTCTTTAGCCTGAATTTCTCTTGCTCCAGCTGCCAACCACTGGATCACATAAACCACTGATGTGGTTAAAGACTGTTGGATCATTAGGAATCTTTTCCTATGAAACACTTAGGAGAAAGCAATTATAAGTGTATTTTAACCTTCATTAGCTAGAAGTTGAGTGATGTGAGATGTAAATGTTTCTCTCTCCTGAGTCGCTCTGGGAGGTTTTAAATGCTGTTTGGGCAAAAAGGAATATTCAGGATCCAATGCTTTGAGGGATGAAGCTCAGTATGATCCATCACAGCTGATTTTTACAGTCTGGAGGTTCATCAGGTTAAATTTTGCTGTCTTAAACTTCCCTAGCAACACAGCACAAAGGATTCACCCACAGAAAAACTCCATTTGCTATTTAGGGAGTATTTCTTTTGCTTAGTGTCCCCTCAAAGGACATGTCCCCTAGTCCTTTCCCATCAGGCTAGAGCTTCCCTGTGCTCTCCTTGTCCCCTGTGACTCCTCTGACGTTCACACAGCAGTTGCAGG